CCCTCTATATTTCTTTTTATTTATTAATGGTTTATTATAAAAATCGTCGCGCTCGATGAAAGCGAATTGCGAAATTATTTACAAACTTTAGTTAAAAGTATTAAAAAGTACCTTGTGTTACTGGCATTATATTACAACAATAGTTTACTGATCTATGAATTAATATCGAAAGAACTTTTAAATTTACAAAATTTACAAAATTTATGACTGGTCCCTAATACTACGTTTCTTCGTAATACTTGTCAGTGAAAATTGTTACAGATGCTGAAGCGTCCCAGTTCAAAAGAATGCGCTTCGGAAACTACTGCAACTTTTTTGGGACTTCTGGTTCCGTGTATCCCATAGCCTATGATGGTCGCCCTGGGAACGAGGAGGTTTAAGAGTTGAAATAACAAATAATTGATGTGAGCTTACTGAGACAAGAGATTCCATTTCCAGTGAAGCCAGCATTACAAGCGCAGGTAAAGTTACCAGGAAGATTTGTACACTGAGCGTTGTTGTCACAATTATCAATTTGTTCCGCGCATTCGTCAATATCTAAACATAGTTCAACCAAAGTAATCAGACAAAAAAATAATTTGCACAATATTCTACATTAATTAACCGGTAACCAAAAAATTAGGTGCTTATTAATGTCAGTTGGGGATGTGATGAGAATTCGCGCCCACATCAATTCAGACTGCAGAGTGGGGCAATGCCATTTCCGATTTTCTCAGGGACACATTTTTGTGTTCCTGGATGTCTTCTGTAACACGTTTTCATATTTCTTTCCGCCTCATAGAATAAATTACACCATTGGCTTCCTGGACATGAAGTTGCGCGAAGGCACCAAATGCTTTGATTTTTATTGTTCGGATAAACAATTAATTCAATTTCAGGCATGATAATAGGCCCTAACCGCCTGTGGTTCCGCCCTTGGGACAGATTACACGCTCCTGCCTTCAATTTAATAGCTTTTCTGCCCCCAATTGGATCTCGTCGAAAATGGCCGACTCTGCAGTGTGCACATCAAGGAATAACATGAAAATGTCATGTATCAGAGTGAGGAACTAATGTTAATTACTTCATTATGTGCAGCAGTCTAGTATCTTCTGGAGATCTAAAGATATTATAGATATCATAATATTTTTGTTTCTATCAGCGTCAAAGTTTACTACCTTCCCAATCTGCTCTTTTGAAAAATTTAAAGACAGCCACCAATAATAGCATTAATCTACACAGTACTTCTTGTTATGAATATCACAAAAATTTTCTCAATCTATTTATATTGTCGAATTTTGTCGAATACTTTACTTTATGTCTTACATACCAACGCAAGTCCTTCCATCTCCGCGGTAACCATTGTTACACGTACACGTGTAAGATCCTTTGACATTGAAGCAACGACCATTCACTCCATCACATTGATCTGTGCCTAGTGCGCACTCATCAATATCTGTACAAGATAAATCACATTTAAATTAATTACATTATTCATAAATTTGCAAAGTTGCTAAACAATCTGGAATTTTGGTATTCAAATTCAAGAATTGACCCAAGACAAGATGAACACGTCCAAGGGCCAGTGTGAATCTCTTCCGGGGGCGTAGAAATGTTTCCGCATTAAAATGTCGCACGCGGCATTGCGATGTTAGCCGAATATGCAATTTATTGTCATTGCTCTCATATGCCCGTATCAATGATTGAAGAAAGTTCGGTTGAAAAAAACAAGATCCCTCAGACACACGACAAAACAACAAGACTTTTTGCATAATACTTCTAATGCGAAGACGTATTATGTATCACCATCATGTTGTTGTTTGACAAATAAAGCGCAGTGTGCGATGTAAAAACTGTTTAAGGGGAAGCATATACTAATACTCCATCTAAGGGCTGTCTTTTAAGTAAAAGTGGCCATCCAAATTTTAAGAAACCATTCCAAGAAGACGGCTGGCTGACTGGCTGGCTCAGACCATGTTCCCAAATAAGGAATAGTATGGATAATCAAGTTTGCCCTATACCTATACACGAGACTCCATTCCCACTAAAGCCCGGTCGACATGTACAGAAGAATGACCCTATCGTATTTGAACATGTTGCATTTAAATGACAGTTGTCTAAGTTCAGATCACATTCATTGATATCTACAAAAACAGAAATGAAGACGATATTTTATGGAGATACTCGAATTATACAAAACCATATGCATACATATCACGTCTAATACTAATACTAATAATAATAATAATAATAATAATAATAATAATAATTTATTTGCACACATACAATTACATAGGGAAAAAATACAAGAAAGATAGAAAAGTTCACTAAGAAATAATGTGCAAAATCGCCTATAATAACCATAAAAGGCTAATCTAGATAGGTGATCTGCTAAACAACAACGTATATATTAAGTTAAGTGCGCACATAATGTGTAAGGTAGAGGAAAAAATATTCACAAAGTCGCCGTAAAATTATCATTTTAATATGAAGCAATCAAAAATAAATTTTAAGTCGCTTTTTGAACACATGTTTATCCAGCAATTTCAGGGACTCCTCAATAAAATTCCGTAACTGTGGACCACAGTATCTAATATTGAAGATACCATAGTTAGTTTGAATCTTACGTAAACCATACGATAATTCAGATGATAAACTAATATTATAATTTTGAACATTCACCACTTTTTTGAAAAAAATCAGAAAAAACCAACGGAAGGGTACCATGATGGAATTGATACATAAATAAGACTGTCAAATAATGAACTCTATCAGAGAATTTTAGTAAGTTTAATTCTTTAAAAAGT